CCACAGCAACTGAGCAGTGTCTGCTCTACTCAGAACCTGGCCCACAGATTCCACAAATACGTAGCGAACCCATGTCTGCGTGTGAAGGGTGTGTGTGTGTGTGTGTGTGTGTGTGTGTGTGGTCAGACAGTGATGGACTGTGGAAAAACAAGATAGTAAAACAGGCCAGGAGACAAGGAGGGGTGGGCATGGGGATCACTGATTTTTTTTTTTTAATTATTTATTTATTTGTGTGTGTGTGTGTGGCCAGCTCAGCCCACCAGGGGGCGGGGCTGGCTGGCATGTGGTCCTGGGGGATTGAACTGCAGTCCCTGTGCTTTGCTGAGCTTGTTCTAAGTAGGTGCTTTAGACCACTGAGCCATCTCACCAGCCCCTGATTTTTGTTTTTTTCAGTACTGGGGATTGAGCCCAGAGTCTACACTGAGCAGCATCCCCAGTACTTTTTATTTATTTTGAGGCAGGGTTGTGCAAAATCCCTGAATTGTTTAGGCTGGGCTTGAATTGTGATCCTGCCTCAGGTTCCCAGAGGGCTGATGCAGGTGTGCCCAAACTGCCGCCAGGCCTAGTTGATCAATGAAAGAATCCTGGCTTTTAATGGGGCCATCAAGGAAGGCCTCATTGACAATGCCAGCTGGCGAGGGGTACAGCCTTCCAGGACAAGGGAGCTTTGAAAGTAATGTCCCCAAGCTGTGAGGCGCTTGAGGAACTGCAAGGTGGCCCCCATGCCAAGGTTCAGGGATGAACACAACCTGCAGGCCCTGGGGAGGACTGTAGCTCTCACTCAGGGGGACGGAGCAGAGGGGAGAGTTGGGCTGCAGGGTCAGGACAACTTCAGCCAGAGGAGAGGCTGCCAGGCCTGGGCAGTGGTCGATGGCGAGGGGCTGTCCCACTGATGAGGCCACAAGAGATGCCAGGACTGCAGACCATGACCCTGACAGGCCCAGCCCAGTACCTAGGAGGACAGGAAGCTGTGTTATCCATTGATTGATTTTCACGTCTTGAGGTTGAAGCTACTGGGCTACTACTTACTAAGCTGGAGAACCACTGTACCTAATTTGCTATGGAACCTCAGCAGCCTAGAACAGTGCCTAGATCCATGGGAAGGTGAGTCAGTGTTTATTCCTCGATTGCTGCTGTCACTTGACCTGGTGCCCTAGATTCCTCCCAAATTCTTGAATGCTTTAGGTTGACTCTTTTACCTCCGATGATTGAGAAGTGTTTGTTTTGAGACAAGGTCTTGTTGTGCTGTTGAGGCTGGCCTTGAACTCATGGCAATCCTGCCTCAGGTCCTGAGTGCTGGGATCACAGGGTGAAGTCCTGCTATGAATTTCTAGTTCTGACATTTGATCAAAATCCACCAAAATCTTCCCTGCTCCTCCCTTGGGGCAAGACCATCATTACACCAGCAAAGTCTGCAGATTTGATTCGTGCCCTGAAGGAATCACGCCAGTTGCTTGCCCAGGATTTGTCTCTTGGCTAAGTAGAGAGTTCAAAGCAGCCTGGACTATATAGCAAGACAGACACAAAACGAACAGCACCTAAAGTTACACTTCACCATCCTAGAGAACAAATGGAAACACAAAGCTTGTCCAGAGATGATTTACCCTGGAATACTCAGAAAATACGAGCAGGGACGTGGGCAGTTCATGTCACAGAAAACAGTTTACAGAGACCACAGTGCAAATTAGCCCGTGATCCCACTCCAGTGCATGTGTGGTTTAGAAATTCTGCAGCCCAGCCGGTGTGGTATCCTCCAAGCAGTTTCTTTTGGTGAGACAGGGCCTTGCTGCGCTGTCCAGGCTGGCCTGGAGCTCCCAGGCCAAATGATCCTCCTGCCTCAGGCTGCTGAGGCGCTGGGACAGTAGGCACATGACACCGCACCTGGATTCGGGTGAGGCTGGCAGCTACTATCTGTTGGACTGTGCCCCAGCAGAGGCAACAGCTCTGCAGCAGGGCAACAAGCCCCGAATTAGCATGCTGGGTGCCAAGACAGGCTTTTGTTGGAGCAGAAACCAGTGCGCCTGTGGATATCTAGAATTTGATTTTTACACCGTTTTGGAAAATGCACTTGTATCTGGCTTTGGAATACTGTGATGCTTCACCCAGATACAGCCAGGTTTAACGTCACAGCTACCTCCATCATCACAAATCATCCCACTGTCCCCACCACCTTGCTTCCACCCTGAATCATTCCAAACTACATACGAGGCTTCACTAAGATGCCCCACACCTTCACATCCTCGCCAGCCTCTTCTCCAGGCTCAGGGCTGTAAGTGGGTTTCTCTACTTTCTGTAGTGCTGGGGATTAAAGCCGAAGCTCCCTGCGTGCTAGGCGAGTGCTCTCTCATGGAGCTCCAGCCTTGGTCCTGAAGAACTGCGCTAACAGGCCCAGCTGAGCTTGAGAAAGCAATTCCCTTCACTCAGCAGCAGCAGCTGCTTTTACACGAAGTTCTGGAGACACTTCTACCTAGTGCTTTTTTACCACACGAGATCAGTGGTGCGTGTCCCTTGTGTGACAGGCACCGTGGACTCCACAGACACTGCCTCCTGTCTGCAGCACCTGCTGGCCCCGAGCTAAGCACATTTAACTGCATGGCAGAGTTACTGGCCATCTCACCAAAGCCTTCAGATGCAGACAGGTCTTGGGTCTCGCTGCCTGGAGCACTGAGGCAGGGAGGAGACCCACCTCCTGTCCTTCCATCCCCAGTTTACCCTTAGAACTGTGAGGGATGGAAGTCTATGCCTGTTTCCATGGCCATGAGGTAGTATTACTTGAAGGGGAGCACTGCCTGCAAGGGGCTTACGCTTTCTTCTGAGATCGAAGGCCAAGAGCTACTGAGGCCTCCCAGGCCCTTTACCAACTAGTGGTCTGTCTGCAAACAAGACACAATCCAAAGGGCCTGCTGACCTTTGGAGACTGCTACTACTGACAGTGACATGCCATGAAGCAGAAAGAAGTGGGTGAGCGAAGGATGGACTTCTGTGTTACTATTAGTCCTAGTAACATAAGCAATGACTCTAAACTACTGCCACATGGAGGGTTGCAGGGCTAGAACCTTTATTTTTGAGATGAGCCTTGCGACGTCGCTCAGGCTGGCCAGGAACTTGTACTGATGACCCTCAAGTTCTGGGATTGGAAGTGTGAACTGTTGGCTAGAACTTTTTTTTTTTTTTTTTTTTGCGGAACCGGGGACTGAACTCAAGACCTTTGCGCTTGCCAGGGAAGTGCTAATTCTACTGAGCCATCTCCCTGGCCCTAGAACTTTTTTTTTGGTGGAACCGGGACTTGAACTCAGGCCCTTGCACTTGCCAGGCAAGCGCTTCCTAGAACTTCTTTATCTTCCATGAATCTAACTGTAAGTGAAATAATTCACTACCATTTCTAGTAATCCTAGTTTCTCCTTGGGTGGGTTAACCTGCTCCCTGAAGCACCAGTTTGGTCCCATTGGGTGGCTGGTATACCCAATACCAATTGGACAGTACCATGCCAGCGGGCAGGACAGTCACACTTGTGCTGCCTGACAGATACACAAATTATGGCCCCGTAATAAATGCGTTAAAAAACAACAACACAACTTAAAATACAAATCTAAAGATTTTCCTGGGCTGGTGAGATGGCTCAGTGGTCTAAAGCACCTACTTAGAACAAGCTTGGCAAAGCACAGGGACCGCGGTTCAATCCCCCAGCACCACATGCCAGCCAGCCCCACGCCCTGGTGGGCTGAGCTGGCCACACACACACACACACACACACTCTCTCTCTCTCAAATAAATAAAAATAAAAAAATAAAAATAAATAAATATAAAAAAAAAAAAAAAAAAAGATTTTCCTGTGCATTTCTGGCTATAAGGAAAGCACAGCTAATCCCTGCTATGTGGGAGGCTGAAGCGCAGGAGGAGGACAAGTGGGTCCTGCTAGCAGGGGCAACTCAAGACCCACCTCAAAAGAAAACATAAAAAGAGCTGAGGCCATAACTTGGTGGTGGACCGCCCAGCTAGTGCGTGGGGCTCAGGATGAGTCTCCATTAGAGGAAAAGGCACAGCTCTCCTGCTTCCCGGGAGTTGAACTGTAGGAAAGAAAACGAGCAAGAGAATTTGAGGAAGATTCAACTACTTCACATTTCAAGCCCAACTCTGTGCCTGTGGTTGGTCTTCACCACCTCAGCCCTGCAGGGGCTTCTCTGGGATGTCCAACCGCATGCGATGGTATCATGCCACAGCCTCTGCAGGCCCTGCATTTTTCTTTTTCTGGCTGAGTCAAGAAGTCAAAGTCCTCCCAGAACACCTTGCAGTTATTCCCAACCAGGAAACCGAGGCAGAGACTGAAGAGACACATTCACGTCAGAACACAACAAGACAAAAACCTCTCAAAAGCTCAGGATCTGGTCCTTAGAGATTTGAAGGTGTAGCCAAAACAAACAATGGTGTAGGTCAGTTTTGTCTTCCTTCCATAAAAATCTTTACAACTTATTTTTATTCACCAATACATCCAATAATATGTCAATTCAGAAGCTAAAGAAAAAGGACACAAGAATTTGAAGGGCTTAAATATATTTTTATATCGATATTCTGTGTCTTTCTACTCTAAAATAATACATTATTGATTACATACAGGATGAGGTGAGGTATTTGTAAAATATCTGATAAAAAATAATAATATACAGTATTCTACATGAGATGGAACCTTATGAACCCCTAGGTCTTCTGAAGTGTTAAATTGATCATCTAAATTAAGCTACCCTCAATGGACTTACAGTTGTTCTCTAAAACCACGTTAAAAAGGAAGGCCCAATCTTACATTTTCCCCGAATTTGTGCAGAAAAGGGAAAGCACATCATTGGCATTTTCAGTTTCTCACATCCAAAGTAATGCATCCACACAAAATCAGAACCTCCACATTTAACATAAAAAGAAAAAAAAATACTGCATTAGAGATGTGAAATCTCTGAGTAATGGTTAGGCTGATTCACCAACACCAAAGAAATTCAAGTGGTCAACAGTCTTGAAAATGTTTTATTGAAATGTGTGACTTCTGTGCAGAAGATGTGTTTGAAAGACCACAGCGTGAAGACTGGTTTTTGAAACTTCTCACCCACCAACTGAACAAAAAAGCAAGTCCCTACAGGACTCAGCTTCTAGCATGTAACTAGAAGCCTAGTGAAAAATTTTCTCTCAAAACATCTGCCACTACAAAAATTAAAGAAGACAAAGCTCATGTTGTGTTTGGAAGTCGCTGGAGTCTGAAGTTTCAGAGAAGTAACAGTTTTTAGACACGCAGGGGGACTTTTTGGTACATTTGGATGGACATGGACCACACAGTTCTCGGAAGAACACGGGGGTGCTCAGGTCTGTATGCCCGCTGTGCTGAAGAGACAGAGAAAGGAAGGACGGGTATGGTGGGGGCAGGGGGAGAAGGGAGAACACGAAAAGGGCTCAGAGAAAAGAGAACTGGAACAAGACATGACATGATTAGGTTAAGTTTAGTTATAAATTTATCAGAAGCTGTGCGCACCTTTTAAAAGTCCTAAATTTACATTCCAAAAACTGCCCCCATTCCCTAGACCCGCTGTCCCTGCCTTGGAGCTATTGCGAAAGTCTATGCACAAAAACTGAAACAGGAAATAAAAAATAACCCGGCCGCTTCATACCCCAAAACAAACCCCAAGAAAGCTGTACATTTTTTTACACACAGGATTAATAATATAGGCATATAGGTGGCATGATTCAATTAAGAGGCTTTACTTTTTATGCCAGGAAAAAACCCAATAAATAAAAGGTGCCAAGTTAGCATTAAGAATTTGGTTGTAATATGACAAAATCTGGGAAGGCGAGTGAGTCCTCAAAGCTCCCCTGGTACTGATCTCTCTCGGCAAACTACAAGCGAATACATAAATAACGCAAAATATGCTTGAGAAGTTGAGATTTTTAAAAACAAGACAACATAATTCAGGTTAACTTCGCTGAACAGTGAATAAAAGAAACTCATCTACACCTGAATAAAACACATTTAACAATTGAAAAACTTTAAGCAACCACAAAAAGTAAAAACTTTCAACAAACATGAACAGGATTTGTTTTTAGGGCACACAAGTACCCTGCAGCAGATTCCGACAGCAGCTTTACTGGTGTCTTCCATGGAGGAGTGAGTCGGGTAGGCTCCAGGGGCGGATGACTGACAGGGCGACAGGGCAGTCACACAGCGGAGTGTGCACCTGCTAGGACCCTCAGATTCCACTGCAGAGCTGGCTTTGTGCAGAGGAGGCACACAGAGAAAGGTGATTCAGGCTACATTATTCAAGAGCTACTTTTCTGGTAACCACTGAATAATGTGTGGGAAAGCTTTGGGCTTTGTTTTTTAAGTTTTACTCCTTGTATTTAATTTTTAAATAACAAGGTCACTAAAACTCATGCACGCTGCAAAAAACCTCATGCAGTAGTTAAGGTAAACCATCCAAGCAGTTTTTATTCATTAATATTCATAAATACACACAGCAGCTTCATTAGAGATTTCCATTTTCCTCTTCAGTTTGAATGTGGAGCATTAGGAGAGCCTTTTGCATGTCAAGGTACAGGAAGCAGAGGTCATCCCTGCACTGCTACCTACATTTACCTGCTAGAAGTAAAAATTAGTTAAGTGGAAATGATTATCATATATATTTTTCTCTCTTCCTTTTGAATGTACACAATGTAACAAGAGTGACAGACCTGAAATTACAATCACCAAACAAACCCAAGATAGTTGTTGTCCACTTTCATTGGCAAATACAGCACAGAGGACATTGTCTGCGAAGTGGGATGTCATCAAAGAGGAGGTGGTGGAGGCTCATTTCCTTTATTACTCTCTTTTAAATTTAGGTTTTCTAGAGCAACATCTAAAGGCATAATATCTACACAGCCCATAGCACCAAAATCTGCCATTTCTCCCCGTTCATCCTCATCTGAGGACGAGCTCTCTTCCCGCACCAAGGTGGACAGCAGGAGCTCTTGGACGAACAGGCTTCGGTCTGCGCGCTCGCTCTCCATGGACTGGCGCTCAACTTCGGACATTTTAGGATCATTCAACCTGTGTGGGGGAGGAGAAAAAGACCTTATTGATACAAGGCCCAGATCTACAATGCCCTCCACTGAGCCACTCAGCTCTGGGGTGTCTCACTGGAGCACCTCGCTCCCACTTGTCATCTTGTTATGTTTTGAAAACCCACAGCAAGGGTGAGGTTTTTAAAAACAAAGACAATATAAGTCAGAGATGCTAACCTAAGCCCTCCCCCCCCCCAAGCCAGCAGGCAAAACAGCCACTGCCTAGCACAGGTCATTCAGGCCTCTCCACTTGTGCAGAGAAAGCCCTTCTGCCCAATGCAATGCCAGGTGCCTTGGTACTCCCAGCCAGTGCTTCTGGGAGGTGCAGTGAATACCAAGAATGACGAGTCTTGTGCAAATGGTTTTGGAAGGAAGCACAGCGAGTGATGGGGCAATGGACACCCCTTCAGGTTCTGGCTTTGCGCTTTGAGCACCAGATGAGTACAGGACAAATTTTTCACATCAAAATGTGGGAGGACCAAATTCAAGGGGTCTCATGGCAGCTGAACCTAAGTCATGCCTGTCATGACTTCCCTAACCAGGATTTCACCTGGAGTTTTTAAGTATAAGGCGGCAACTCTGCTTACACAAAAAATATCTATAATCACCAGAATAATTAACTGAATCAAAACAAACAAACAAAACCAACCCAAAATGTGTCTTAACTTTCTGTTATTACTTCTACCTAATTTTTTCTAAAATAAGAGCACATCTGGAAACCCTTCCTCACCAAGAACACGCTGTGTGGCGGGCAGACCCGAGAGCTGCCCCAAGGTGCACCTGGCCCTTGAGGATCTGGGTCAAGGTGGGAACCCCGCACATCTGCCCAGAGCGGGACAGCTGTGAAGGGTTGAAAATTCTACTTACCGTGGGTGTGGTGGCCTGTAATCCTAGCACTTGGGAGGCCGAGGCAGGAGGATCGCTGCGAGTTCGAGGCCAGCCTGGGCTACAAAGTGAGTTCAAGGCCTGCCTGAACTGCATAGCGAAACCCTGTCTCAAAAAAAAAAAAAAAAAAAAGAAAAGAAAAGAAAAGAAAAAAACTACTTACCACTTGCTGCTGATTTGCTAAGTGACTTAAAAAGTGTCAATTCCCCAATAAAATAGTGAGGTTTTGCTTAGTTTCACTACTAATTTCTTTTCTGGTGGCAAAGAAAGGAAAGCCAGCACAACAGTGGGATCAGGAAGTGTAGAAAGACAGGGCCAGTGAGGGGTCTGAAGCCACGTGTGATAGGTATTTCTCCCTGAGACCTCAAGTGTATGGAGTCCAACACAGACCTGCTCCTGCCGCCCTAACAATGCTGAAAGGCCAGGAGCCTGGGTCGCCACGGACAGTACTCACAGGCACCCACCAGTGCACGCTCTATTCTAAGTGCTTCCGGAAAGCATAAACTCTTTTAACTGTCACCTAGGAGCTATTGTCAATGTTTTACAGGAAGAGGAAACTGAAGCAAAGTAACTTGATAAAAACTTTCACAGCTGTTAAAAACCACTACTGATAACTGAATCAATGGCTTAGAAGGCAAAGATTTAAGATTCAGAACTTAAAGAAAGTCAAATATCTGAAAGGTAAATGCAGGAAAGCCAGCACATCCATATTGAAAGAAAATACTGGTGATTAATTCATGGTTAAAACCAAATGAAGGCTACCACAGAAAGAAGCTATGAAGCAGGCTACACAGTCTCAACCTGAAACTATACCAGGATTAAGAACAGATCTTAACCCTATAGTCCATGTTCTTAGCTCTGGTCAAACAAGAAAAAAAATCTAGAGAATCAGATCTGTTACAGAAGAAAATCCACATAATGTTTGTATCAGGAAAACTAGAGACACAGGCTGACACAGCCAGCGGCTCTTTGTATTACTGTTCTGATTTTTAGGGCAATGATTAGGAAAACGCCTCATCCTTGAGATAAATTCTGGTATTAGAAAAAATTCTTCTCTAGAGAGGACCTAAAAGACTGCAAAGCTTCTGAGGAGTTTCAATCAGGGCTGGCCAAGCTGGCTGGTCACATCCCTGAAAGACAGGCAGCTGACTCAGAGGCTTGGTCACTTCCTCAAATGTCAGGATGCCTCTAACAGTGATCTGCCCACATAGCTCCTGGGCAAGATGAACAGGACCCGGTCTTCAGCAGAGCGAGACGGGCGGCAAGGCCTGTGTGTACCACACCACAGCTCCGCGATGAGATGGGGTTCGTCCCAACACTGCAGTGGCTTTTTCTGCCTTCACATTTATAACGTGTCTTAATATACTTCAAGTTCTGAGGAGCTCAACAGTAAGCTGTTTTTGTTAGTTTCCCCCCAAGCTCATTCCACAGGGCAGAAAAAGATGAACATAAATTACTATATGTTCCTCAGAAAGTATTAAGTTCCAGGGAATAGTTTTTGGAAAATAATGCCTTAGATAAATCAAGTGAATTTGGATCAAATGGTAACTCACAAGTTAAAATTCAGCCTTCTCAATTTAGCAAGACCCTGTCTTAAAAAAAAAAAAAAAAAAAAAAAAAGGCTAGGGATTTAACTGAGGCCCTGGATTCAATCCGTAGTAACACACACACACACACACACACACACACACACACACACACACACACGAAAGCGAGAGTATGATCTGCAGCTGTGCAGTACTATGCAGTGTAGAGTTTCAGAGACGGGACCCGTTAGAAGCTGCAACTAGAATCCAAAGAAAGCACTGAGGCCACCTACACCACACTCAGGGATCAGGGTGTCCACTGTAAAGTCAATGCACAAAGCCCCAAGGTAAAGCCATTACGCAGCCTGAACGTAAGCAACAACAAAAACAAGGCTAGGGTGAGAAGACGTCTGCATCGGAGAGCACTGGCAAGACGTTCTCCCTCACTGCAGTGTACTCTGGTGAATACACACTGGTAAACTGTGTGTCCACGTGGGGTTTTTTTCTGTGGTACTTGGGACTGAAGCCAGGGCCTTCTTACTGAGCTTTCTAAAACTTTTTGAGACAGGAACTTGCCAAGTTGCCCTGGCTCGGCTAGAACCTTTGCTCCTCCTCCCCTAGCCTCCCAAGTACTGGCACAGCAGCTATGCACCACTGTCCCCAGCCTGAGCTCCCTTTCTGAGGCAGCTACCTAGGCCTGGCAAGTCCAGGCTTGCTGCTGGTTAGTGCCCACAGGCAAAGGCACCGCAGCACGCAGATCCCACCTGCAGCTCTGACTTCCTCACAGGGGAAGCAGGATTTTCTGATAATGGGCAGGAGCTCTCGACCTGGCAGAGATACCACAGAGGCAAACTATTCCCCTGATATTCCTTCTTCAGAGTGAAAAGAAGTAACCCGCGTGAGTGCTTCATTTCATCCTCAAAGATTCTCTTGGGACACTGGTGAGATGACATTGCACCTGTGGCAGTGCAGTGGCACCTCAGTGGTACACAACTCTGACAAGAGGTGGCCACAGTCATGTTGGTGTGAGAAGATGGCCAAGGTCCTACAGAGTTCACCAATGCAGAGTCTGCAAACAAAACCAAAATTTTGCCAAATGCTTTTCGGCAAACAAAAACATTCATGAATCAAGGCACCTCTGTATGTTGTCTCTGGCCCAGACTTAGCAAGCTGCAAAACTGAGGCTCTAGACTAGAAGTCTTCAAACATACCATGACATGACAGTATGTCATTACAACTCCACACACATCCCACTGCAAAATTTTATTTTATTTTTTTTTGGTGGAACTGGGGATTGAACTCAGGCCTTTGTGCTTGCCAGGGAAGCCATCTCCCCGGCCCCACCTGCAAAATTTTGAAGTGTGAGAAAAAAGAAATGCAAGTAGAAATTATACCTTCTTTAGTATCTCAGTGAGCTGCAATATGTACTGTACTCCTGCCGATAAAATACTTTCTGTTACTCTGTCCCACTAAAAGCTCAGTGCAGTCCTGGTTCTGTATTTGTTGAGTGTGAGACTCTACTTGTCACTGCTATTTAAATATTCTCTATATTCTCAGTTCTTGGCAGAGAATTATATTCAGTTGCTAACTCATTTCAAAGAACACTACTCCTTCCAGTGGAGCAGCGTGCTGTGTGTACTCATGATGTACACTGTGCCAACCCTTTTTTAAACAGTCACACTTTTGGGTACTAAGCTAGGAACTTAAATCTAGCGTCTTTAGAAAATCATCACTTAATAATTTCCTTTTACTATTTCAGATTGAAACTGGTAGTTAAGGGTGTGCAATGTTAATTATGTTAACACGATTACCTCAAAAGACTTATACATGTAATGATATGGTGTCTGAGCTTTATAGGTAGCATGGGAAAGAAAACTCTTATCAGAAGATGATATATATCTTATGAACAGAAAGACCAGGATTCCTACTTTATTCAGATCATTTCTCTTGGGGAAATACTGAGCATCCAAATTTGTTTCAGAGTCTTGCTATGTAGCCCACGCTAGCCTTGAACTCACTGATTCTCCTGCTTCAGCCTCCCGAGTACTACGGTTACAGGTATGCGCCACCATGCCCGGCTAGGCATGTAGTTTCAATCAGAAAGTTCTAAGCAGTAATGATTTAATAAAAGGCATCATTTGTTTTTTGAGACAGTCTTGGCTGTGTAGT